ATATAACCCAGCCACAACACTTCATTTATAGATTGAAACATCTCTCTAAACACTAAACCTGAGTAGGTTTAAAACAATAGCACTAGTGGAGTTTTGTAACCAAATTAGATATCAAATCATCTTTTTCCTTTATTTTATCATAACTGCAAATATTTGGACAGAGTTTGTAAAGCAAAAACTATAATTAAATTCTGATTTTCATTTTAAATTATAAAGAGGCTTTAAATATACTGAATGCCTAAAAAGTGCAAGGTCAAATTTTCTTCTCTCTGCTCTACACTGCCCTCAAATCGCACTTTATCTCTAAGGAATTATTCAACCTTTAGTCTCTTAGCTGAGGCAGTCAAGTCAGAAAAACCAGGCTGGGAAGACCCATAATCCCATGTGACGGCAATTAACATTGAGTGGCCTTTGCTAATGTGCCAAAAGAGAATAAGAACCTGCTCACTGGGCCTTCACCCTTAATGAGCCAGAGGAAGGGTTTAGATAGGGGGGAAATGATTTGTTAGAAGCCATAGAAATGGGATGCATCTTAAAATGCCATTTTCAGAACACAACCTGGGTGAGGGAAGAAATCAGTTTCTTTGCAAGTCCTTAGACCCGCTTCATCAAGATTACACTCTAGAGGTTCAAAGATGAGAACTAGAGTTAAGTGACTTGCCCAAGGTCACACAGGAATTAGTCAGAGTACAAAAATTAGAATTCATAGTCTTTGTGTTTCTAGTTCATTGCATGGTGCACTGGAGTGAAAAAAAAATGTATACTCCATCTAATAAAGCCTCTAAGCATTTTTTTCTGACTTACAGAAGTTGAGCAAATGATAATAGGCTCAGAATTTTAAAAGAATCAGTAGGAAATTTAAAATTGAATTGAAACACACAGCCCACAGTTATAGTATGGTCACCAGAGTAAAATGTTCTCTGTGATCATGCCCTCAGGCTAGCATTAATTAAAAAGAAGAAAATGGTGTGGGCCTAGAAATACCTTACTCAGAACTATAAGATTAGCTATTATCATTTGTCCTTTACATATAATATTTAATATTTCATTAAAAATATCATTTGATCACTTACCACAAACTACACACAATATTAGTGCAGACAATAGTGAATACGAAAGACAGAGACATAGGTAGCTCCTGTATTCATAGAAGTACAGTCTTAGTAGTCACTAAATAAGCAAATCTCTCCCAAATATAGTCAGGATCCTCTAGAATATGCCTCCTACCCCATGTGTGGGAACTCGTCCCACACGTGTCTATAAAAAAGAGAAACTGGTCTTGGAGTATAGCTCAGTGGTACAGCCCTGGCCCCGCATGTGCAAGGACCTGGGTTTGATTCCCTGCCTCAACCCCCACAACCCCCCCCAAAAAAAAAGAAAATGGAAAAATAAAGAAAAAAACAAAAACAATCTAGCATAGTTGTTTCAAACTTTCACACCAACTACTTGACATTTCTCATGTGATTTCTAGAGAATTATTAATGTATATTTTATCTCTACTAAGAATTCATGCTCTTGTTTCTACTTGCTGATTTGAAGATGATTATCTCAGAAGACAAATTCTCAAGCTCAGAGAGGGAAGGGTCCTCTAGATGGTGAGGAGATGAGCCATAGAAACACGGGGTCTTCTCCTCCAGATCCTCACTTCTCTAATTTATGTGATGGGCTTACCCTTTTCTCTTCCTACCTTGGACAATTCTTCCTCAGATTTCTTTCCTTAACAACTGTCACTTGTAGTTAGTAAGTGACCCAAGGAATGTGCATACTCAAAACTATACCACCCAGTTTTCACTTTTATTTTGTTCAGGAACTCCCTTAGCTTTCAGTTTAATTGGATGCTTTTTTATTTGGACATATCTTAACTTTTGAAGGATAAATTTCCAGGCCTCGGAGGTTAAGACCAATTTTGAAATTTTTGTCATTCTGGTGTTATGGAGGCAAATTGGTCCAAT